GCATAGAACTGTTCGTGCTAGTCGTTAACCAATATGCATAGGTCCGAGTTTTTATTGCTATTAAATTTAAATAACGTAATTTTTATAGGTAACTAATTTTTATAGGAAAATAATTATTATAGGAAACTAATTTTTATTTGAAATAAATTTTGTTATAAAAAAGTAATTTCTATGTGAAATCAATTTTTATATAGAATTTATTTTTATGAGAAATCAATTTTTAATAGGAACTCAATTTTTATAGGAAATCAATTCTTATAGTAAATCAATATTTATACGGAATCAGTTTTTAAAGGAAATAATTTTTTTTAGTAAATTAATTTTTATAGGAAAACAATTTTTATACGAAATCAGTTTTATTGGAAATTAATTTTTATATGAAATAAAATAGAGTTATCATTCTTTATAGCAAATTCATTTTTATGGGAAATTTATTTATTATTTAAAGGAAACAATTATTTTGGAAATTAATTTTTATGTTAGGTACATTTTTATGAATTCATTTTTTTGCAGATTTTTTGTTTGTAGGAAGTTAAAATTTATTCTTAAAAAAAAAAGAAATATTTAAAAGATATTGCATAAACATATTCATACTATGTTTTAAATATAAATGTTATTTAATATTATTAACTTTAAAAAATTTAACTTTTATTTATTGTTTATTTTTTTTATAATTCAGTTTTGAAATACTATTGTTTTTATTTATTCTATTTATTAAATTTTGTGTTGGCTGTTTCTTCCAAGTTATTCTTTTTTTAAATTTAGTCAATATATGTATAATTAATTTTTTGAATACTTAACTTCAAGGAAATAAATTACTTTTTGAAATTAATTTTTATGTTAAGTACATTTTTATATTTTATTTTTTTGCAGATTTTTTGTTTACAGAAAGTTTAAATTTATTATTAAAAAAAGAAATATTTAAAAGATATTGCATAAGCTTATTCATATTAATTAAAATTTCAAAATCTGAATGTTTTCTTTGATTACCAATTATGTGTAGATAAGTTTTGATTTTGATTCTTCAAAATTTTGTTTGTATGCGTATGTATGTATATAATTTTCTAGTGTTTTGTAATATTTTTTTCTTTCTTTGTTATTTGGTATTATATTTAATTTTGGAATGGTTTAATTTTCAAATTATTGTTTTTTTTAATTATCTTTTTTTCACTTGTAAGTTATTTTTTTAATAAATGGTGTTAATTCTTTTTAGTTAGATATTAATATGTTATTTAATATTATTAACTTTTAAACTTTTAACTTTTATTTGTTTTTTTTAATTAAATTTTTAAATACTATTATTGTTTTTATTTAGTGCATTTATTAAATTGTTTTTTTTTTGTTTTTTAATTGAGGCTACAGTTTCTTCGAAATATTATTATTTTTTTAATTTAGTTAATAAATTCTGAATTTTTTGAATTCATAGTCGTTGCACACCATTTCATATCACTTGACAATTTGCCAAATTTCGTAATCGCGCATTCTCACCGAATTCGATAGCCGTCGTCGCATAAGTAAATTAAATTTATTTAAACTTTTTGAAATTACATGTCAATTCAATGAAATGTTTCCCGCACAAAATCTAAAGAGCTGCGGGATGAAAATAAAAGAAGCAAATTTTATACATTTCTTGACACAATTTTACTGACGAGTGTCGAAAGCGCAGCTGCAACGCATTATTTTGCCAAATTTTCTAGCGCTTTTCTGCTGATTCTGTGTAAAATAAACCAAAACAAAGCCGAAGCTAACACTGCTACCAAACAGCCCCGCCCACCAGGCATCCCAAACTAATCACCATTGTGTGTTGGCTAATTCTTCGGTGACAATCAGCTGCCGTCATCAAGGAGGGAGGAGAATTTTGAGTGGGTGGTTGGTGGCCGGCCAGCAACCATAAATGCTCAGCTGCAAAGCACACACAGCCAATCACACAAATGCAAGTATCTGTGATTATTTGTATGAGATAAGAGCATAACTGAAAGCAAAGAATTTTTCGTTGTTTATACAAGAAATGTTTGCGGTCTTTTTGTGCACCTTTTTTGGTTGTGCGTTTGTGTGTGTGTGTTCTGCAGCTCCGATGCGGCCAAAAATATATTCGAATTCTCTGTGAAAATTGTGTAATATTCTTACAGGTTAAATAATTTCGTTTCCTAGTGCTCGCAGCGGTAACATATGTATATGCTCGTCTGTGTGTGTGCCTCATTTGATGTGCTGCTATTTTCGTCATTTACTAACATACAAACATATCTATAGATATACATATGTACATACATTTACATCTATAACGCCATGTGTGTTTGTAAGCTTTGTGCTATAATTTATTGTGTATTATTTAATATTTTTTTGACATTTACCGCTAATATTTATTCGGCTTTTTTCTTGCTGTTTCTCTATGCTAATATTTTAGTAGGTCGCCCCCGGCCGTAAATCGCATATTTTTTGTCATAAGCATAAGAGCATCATGCATATACTATGTACATGTATTTATATATGTACATAACTACATACATATGCACATGCTTAATAAGTAGGTTTTTTTTTCGCCTACTATTTGTATGCTTCATGTCCGTCTGCACGTTCACGAGACTATTTCGCTTTTTGGCAGCTCCCGGTATTTAGGTGATGCTCGCTATTACCCCTCTGTCGTCTCGCCGCAGCCGTTGCTAGCAGTAGCACCTGTGCCTATACTAGCTGCCTGCCTGGCTGACCTCGTTGTCGTCATAATTTCCCTGCTTCAAAATATTTCTCTTTCACAACAGCAAATTATTTATCACTGCATTGTTTAAGTGCATTGCACTTTCAAGTTTTCTGACGAACTTTCATCGAATTCATAGATTTTTAGGTGAGATATATACAACTTTTCTACGGCTTTGTTTTTTAATCAGAGACCATACCGAGTAAAGTACATATATCTATATACTATATACCCAGCTCTCAAAAATACGCTTAAAAATTCATTTAAAAACACCCAAGAAATGAAAAAGAAAATTACCTCTATCAAAATTTCTTAAATCAGTTTGCAGAAAAAATGTCCTATATTTATTTCGAGATGACAATTTACAGCAACGGTAAATCAATTTTTCAAACTACGGAAAGAATGAAAAATATTTTTTGAGATTTTTCTTGAGAGCGGATGCTAAGCTAAAATAGTAAAAGTAACATCTTTTTAGCATCTATGTAAACCATACTCTCCAGAAAGGCCTCTGATAAAACCTGAGAAATGATGAAAAATTCACAACGGTTGTCAAAAAATCCTGTATAAAATACGAAAAAATTAAAAATAAAATCTCGCGTTTTAAAAAAATTCGCACTATTTAATTTTTTTATCAATGCCAAAAAAAACCTACTAGTTTTTTCTGAAAATTTTAGACGTAATTTTTTCACAATCTCTTAATAATTATAATAAAATGTTTTTGCCTTTGTTTTTTTAGTGTAGTTCCGACCAACCATTGAGTGGAAAAATATTAAAAAATAGAAATTTATTTCGTACATATTTCTTTTATACATATTTTATCAATTTGTTATTTATTATTTTATTTATTTCTTTGTTTTTATACTTTTACTTATTTTATTTATTATCTTATAACTTTATTTATTATTTTATTTATTATCTTATAACTTTATTTGTTATTTTTTTTTATAATTTTTTTTTAATATAAATATATATTATTAGATATATATTTTTTGATGATTTTTTGTGTTGTATTAATTTTTTAGGTTTACATTTTTTTGTTTTTGATCTCATTGTTTAATTTATTTATTTTTTAATATCTTCCTTCGCTTTTAGTTTTTTACTTTATAGTTTTCAATTGTCTTACTTTTTTAGTTTTAAGTTTTTAGTTTTTCATTGCTTTTTGTATATATTTTGTTCTCTTATTTTTTATTTGTAAATTTGGATAGATAACAACCTTTTCTTAGATTTCTAACCGCTTTTGTTTCATATCTGCATTGCACTTAACAAAAATATTTTTAATTTATGTTACGTGACGCTCGTATGACAAAATGTTAAAAAAAAATATTGAAAAAGTCAAAATTTTAAAAAGGTTTTTCTAGATTTGCATAGCAATTAAATGGCCCCTTCTTCAGTAAAAAATTACAACGGTTGGTAGTAGCGATTTAAAGATATTAGTAAACTTGCGCGACGTTACAAAAAACAGAAGTGGATTTTGATTTCGATTACAAAATTGCAAAAATCTGAGAATCGGGCAACACTATTTGTATTAAAGTCTTTGTAGTAATATTGGAAATGTTTCAGGTGAATTTTCCAAGTTTTGAAATGTAAAACTCTTTGGCGTTATGTTTAATCAGCTGACGTTACGTTACTCAAATTGCCGTTGAAAATCTTTTGTTAATATTTTTCTTGAAAGAATTTTAACATGCATGCATGTCGAGCGTTCTTTTTATTTTTGCGAATAGAGTATGGCCACGCCTTCAAATTGTATTCAAAATTCGGTTCCGTCTCGATCCCTCGTTGCTGATTTCTAAACTCCCAAAAGGAGCCAAATATATGTAAATCGGCCTGTAAACATCACCTCAGCAAATATTCGATTTTTTTCTTGCCTCCACAAACCGTTGTATGTGGATATATGTATATCATAATCAGTGTGAAGAGTTCATTATTTAAAACATATGGTAAGCGAAATACCGCTAAATGCCTAGGTATAAAGTTGGTGCCACAAGTTGAGCAAAACATTGGGACTTGAAACGATGTTACGTCCTCAACACCGAATACCTACAAATGAAGGCTTAATCTCTGCTGGAGAGTCTCAACGTCTCTAGACGTTTAAACTGGGAGCTTTAAAAGCTTTGTGAAATTCAAGTAAATTCTTTCATGAGAGAGGTACAATTTTGAACTCGTTCTATCGGGTTCTCGTGACCTGGTGTGCCTCGCATTTCAATGGAGACTACCCTTTTTGACTTTATTTATTCGCTTTCTAATTGATAGTTTGTAAATGTATGTACATATCTAACTAACCTCCCCTTTTTTTTAATCTATTTTCCAGTATCCGCAGTTTATGTATCCAGTGCGGCAGTGGGTGTCGAGTCGGGACGTCAACGTCATGCGCCGCTCTATGGACGATTTGTGGTCGAAGAAGAGCTTCCTGCAACACATCGAGATGTTATGCATCACGTAAGTTATTGAAAAAAAAAAATTATTTTAATAAATTTTGTCTTTTTAAGTTAATAAAGTTTGTAGGACGAAATTCGATGATGTGGTCGTATGTATATTAGTACGCAGACAATAATTTTTCCAAAAATAAATATTGCAAAGTTTCAGGGATATTCAATTACAAAATTTTTGAAGGACATTTTCCATACCCATTCGTCCTTATACACCAAAAAATGTATTCCGTTGTAATTCTACAGAATTTTTTCTCTTATATTATACCTTTATTGTTATTCTAAATTGCACTGAACTTAAAAAAAGAAAATGACATAATCATATTTTTTAAATTTCAAAGTACTTTTCAAAAAATCTTGACGTCAGAGAGAAAAACTTAGTATAATTTTTTTTGTGTGTAAAATTTACTGTCGTACGTACTGCCAAAAGCCCCCGAAAAATGCAATGGGGGACCAATAAAAAATCGTTAGTATCAAAAAATGGTTAGATAAACGATTGGGTATTATTACTGAAATTCTCCTGAAGAGAACCAGAGTCCGATCGAAAAATATTGGTTTTCCCGAATTCTATACCATTTCTATGATTTCAACCCCCCCCACGGTTTTTTCGATATAGAACAATCCTAGGGAGTGAGAGCATAAAAATTGCGACTTTACTTTTTTTTTAGACCACCCTAATGTGCATACATAGTCGTCCATTCGACAAATTTTAAGACTTACTCCCAAATTCATAAAAAATAAGCAAGTCTTTAACCGCTTTATAAATCGTTTTTTATTTTTATTTTTTAGAAGATACTTATTTTAAATTTTTATTAAAAGTTTGAGGACGTTCTACACTGGCTTTCCTCTCAATTCCAAGTAATATCATTTTAATTCAGGAAATTTAAATTAAATTTATAGTTTTTCATAAACTTTTTAGCGTCTTTGCATTTTTTAATAAAAGTAAAATTTTTCGCCAGTTTACTAATTGCCTTTCAAGCAAAAAATTCATTCACTGTTGTCATGCCACAAGTGTTGTTCGTGTTTCGTTTTTTGCAATTTTAAAGCTTTCATGCAATAAAAAATTTTTATTACAATAATAAATGTTATGAATCTTTCATCGTTTTCTTTTCGTCTTTACTCTGCAGCGATCTAGTCCGACGTCATCGTCTGAGGTGCGTGCCATGCAGGCACGAATTCCAACACATTTTCGTGATCCAGCAACAGCGCCGTTGCGAAAATTAAGTGTGGATTTGATTAAGACCTACAAGCATATAAATGAGGTAAATATGAAGTGAAGAAAATTTTGTATAATTTTTTGAAAAGTGAAATTTCTTCGGAAAGGCATTAAAGCAAATTGAAGTTTTTTTAATGTAATTAAGGAGCCAACCAAAAAAAAAAAACTCGCCTTTTTGTTTGCCCCGGGGAAAAAAAATTTGGGTTCGTTTTTTTTTTTTTAATGTCACACTGTAGTATGGCAAAAAGTCCAACATTGGAGGAAACGAAAACACCATCAAATCTATTAATTTTTTTAACGAAATTGGTAAAATGTTATGAATGCGTAATGCAGTTTTAACACCTTTTTTCCAAGCTTTTAAAAGATTCTATGTTTCTCGATGTTTCTGCTTTTTCGTTCCAATTGAATTTTATAAAGTGTTGATCTCATTTTGGACACATATAAAAAACGTTTACGCTGTTTCAAGCGAGTCTATGTTTTTCATTTAAGCTTAGAAAAAGTTTTTCATTGAATCGAGGCCGTGCCTTTACTGTTTTAACTTAGAATTCCACTTTTTTGTGGGTTTTTATGCCTTCACTGTTATTTATTTATGGTTCGAAAACATTCTTCAATAAACCGAAACCTTATCTACTACTTTTAATTTCCAATCTCTCTGTGGAATTTTCTGTTTTATTAAGTTTAACTAACGACTTAACTACCGTTTAAAATAGAAAAGTAAATTGCCCTAAATAGAGATTTATTGTTGTTGTTTTTCGTGCCTTTTTTAATTTTTAAAAGTTTCTGTTTTCGTTGTTTTTAGTTTTTAGCGTTAAACAAAGTTAAAGTTCGTGCAGTTGTCATCTTTATAACATTTGTAAAAATTGGTGGTGATTACCAGTTGCTTGCGACAATTCTATGTTTTCTACGTTTTTATTTCAGAACTCTAAAGTACATTTTTGAACGTAATGTACACGCTTTTCTTTTAATTAATTAATTTAATTAAGTGTTGAAGAGAAGTTAATAAACTCACAATTTTTATGAAGTTTTCTATGTTTTCAAAAAGTGCGTTTTGCCTTATTTCCTTAGTATTAGAAGCATTTTTTTCTTTCCCTCGAAGTAGTGGGTAATGCAAAGCTTTTTTAAAGCGATTTGTAAGATGATGCTTTCTGGTTTCATACATACTCAAATTTTCACTGCTTTTAAAAAAATATTTGGAGAAAATTTTAATTTTTAAATCGCGAATTGGCCTAGTTTTGGGACTCTTTCTACGTTTTTGATGTCTTGGGTTTGTTAAATTTTCATAGTTTTTGTAAAGTTTTCCTTGAATTTCCCGAAAAAATTTTAAGAGCAGTTGTAAGCATTTTTCAGCATTCTATATTTTCGATGTTTTCAAGCCATTCTATTAATCCCTCATAAAACGATTATTTTCAGAAATTTCGGTAATTCTATGTTTTCTATGTTTAAGGAAAAATTGCCATTTAATAAGAAAGAGATCAGCTGATCTTCTAAACTACATGATTTTATATAATTCCTTACATGTACTATGTATTACTTCACATTTTGCAAAGTGCTCACTAACTACATACATACATATCCCTTTTTTCCCCCAGCAAAAGCAGCAACAACTTCAGTAGTATGTATGTATCTATTTTCCCTTGCCACCAAATTGATCTGCTTCTGACGCTGTTGTAATTCTTTGCCTTGTAACATTCATTCTTTGCTCATACTCATAATTGTTTGGCTGTCGTTGACAGTTACAACAACAATAAAAGCTACAAAATTGTCGTTTGCTTTACCAATGACGAAGCCAAAATTACAACATACAACTACTTAGTAGTATGCCGCCCTTGACCCAACGACAGCAGCAACGACGACTTTTCATCAGCTGCCCTAAACAGCAGTAATAACAACAACAATAATGCTGGCAATTTTTCTCAACTGCAACATTGTTGCCACCTGCGTCAGCGCGTGCACAAACACATGCTCAATATATTGATGGATGTACGTATGTATGTATGTGCCGTGCACATTTTAAAATAAACGCAGTAAAAGTCATTGAATTGCCTTTTAGTAGCTACATACATAGTCGAATAAGTAGTCAGTCGAGAGGGTGCGGAGGGTGGTGGACGAGCCAAGTCTGTGAAATTCTAAACTATTGCGGTCATCACTATACACTCGCATGTGTTTGTTTGTATGTACGTAGATATTTTTTTCTGGATCCAACACAACTTGAGTCTGATGTTTAACTTGCCGCCCCCCTCACTGCCCTGACTCACTGATTTATCAATTTTTCTTGTTGCTTATTTTTCTTCGTCGTTGTCTCCCTATTGGTGCGCTTGTGTTTGTAAAAATAGCCAACAATAATGGGAAATAACAATTGACGACATCGGAAAAGTGAAAATTTCTGATTTTCAAATTGATTTTAAATAATTTAACGCGTGCCTGCCTGCTTGCGTGCTTGCCTTTGATTTGTGGTTAGCAGCACGCTGAGCAACAGCAGGAAGACGGCATTTTTTGTGATTACAAAACAGTCTAGGTTGTAATTTTCTTTTACTTTATTTTTCAGTGATTAGATCAAATTTATGATAATTTAAATTTCTGCGAAAAGCATCAAAAACATAGAAAAGTGGGCTTAAGTGGTAGAACAAATGAAGAGTCTATTAAGAAGGTTCGTAACATGATGCCCAAACACGAAAACCATAAAAAAAGTTGGTTTGTTTCGCGGCGGCTTTAATTTTAAAAACATAGAAAACATTGCACGTGTAATTTGAAAGAACCCAATTTGTTTTCCTTTAAAACATTTGCGTAAATTCTTTCTGAAGCTATACTGGAGAATTTTACTGATTTGTATTGGTTTCAAAAAGCAAAAATAATATGTAGTAATTATTTTTAATGCGAAAACAAATAAAAAATAAATGATGGAAGTTCGTAGCTTAATGTATTCCTGCCACTATTTAGAAAACATTGAACGATGCAATTCGAATGCATATAACTTAACTTTGAATACCAAAAGTTTACACTGATCGTTTAAAAGCCAATCTGAAATGTGTTATTCTAATTAAAATTTTGGTTATTCTATGTTTCTTGGCATTTTGAATTGGTTTCGGTGCATTAAAATAGATAGAAAAATTAAATCGAACAAATGAAAAAGGCTTATAGCACAATAAAATCGTATACGTGATTTAAAACTAAAAAAAAAAACAACGTTTACAGTACGTTTTATGTTAAAAAAAAAAAACAGAATGTAATGAATAGAAGAATTTAAAAATGCATAAATAAGTTTCACTTACGTTCACTGTTTTGAAAGTTATACTTGCATGCTAAAGTCAAATGCTTAATTTATTGGTCCATTTCGGATAATATCGGAAACAGAAACAATACGTTTATCATAGTTTTATGCACGCAAATGTCCATTTTCTACAAACAAGCTAAAAATAAAATGTTCTTGGCACTTTCATATTTTAAATCCAAAACATCGAAAACATAGACTTAATGCAATAAAAAAAAATGAAAGGAATATTTCTTTTTTATACCACAAATATTTGCCTTAATCGTTTTGACAGCTGTGCGTGAATATTTCAGTCGAATTACTAATTTGTAAAGCGATTTGAAAAACATCGCCATTAAAAAGAAAACGTTTTTTAACAGTTCTAAGCAGCTAAGTGCACATTTTCTATAAGTAAGGAAAAATTACTGATTTTTTCGTTCCAAATTTTCAATAAAAAAAAACATCGAAAACATAGAAGGTGTTAAGTTTAAATTTTTTACTGTAAACAGCTTCAAATACAATTTCTGCACGTTTAACAAAACATCAAAAACGTATTTACATGAAAAGAAAATCTATGTTGTACTTATAATTTAAATGATAGTTTCTCTAAAGTCGGAAATCGAAACATCGAAAACAGGAAATCATATCGCTACCTAAAGGAGAAAAGGTTTCAAGTCCACTTTTTTCCAAAATTTAGGTTTTGATGCGATACCACATAGATTTTTCGTCTCTCCTGAACAATTTCAAAATATGGAATTGGCAACTTTTCACCTTTAAGTAACGATATTTCATGGTGTTCCCTACTGTAACAAATGCCTTATCCCATTTTTTGCTTTAAAAATTAAAATATCGCAAAAATAGTTTGACTNTTTTTTTTTTTTTTTTTTTTTTTGTTACCTACACCGAAATTGTATACCGCCGAAGACGCTCTGTGCAGCAAACATCTCCAATTTCAGTGTGGCTGCTGCTGCTTAAGCTGTCGCTAACGCCAACGCCGCCGATGTGGTCGCCGTAACCACAGTCACAACCGCTAGCTCACTTGACTGTCTGTCGCCACAGACCCTCTACGGCGCGCGTTCAGCTGTCGGCTATTTGCCTTTTTGTTGGGCTGCATGACTGACTAAGTCGTTGGATATCAGGCTAACGAGCGCTGCACACTGTGTCGACTACTTCGCTGCTAACGTCTACGCGTCGGCATACACCCATTTTTAAGCGTTTCATTTCTATTTCTCTACATTTTTCTATAAATTCCCTATTTTGTTTCGGCTCGTTTGTGGTGCGGCCACACACAGTTACAGACAGCTGGCTGCTGTGTAGTTAGTGGTGAGTGTTGCTTGCTTTGCAGCTTTTTAGGCGCATACAATACGCAGAGAGAAAGAGAGAGCCCGCACTCAACTCGCTATCCACGCGTTTGCGCTCTGTTGCGAGCAGCAAATAAATTGGCAGTCAAATATGTAGTCCATTTGGTAGCAGCCTTCATTCACTCTTTGCCGCTCAGAGCATTTTCGCCCTGTGTTCATTTTTCTTCGGAGTCTGCAAATGTCTACAAAATGTTGCAGCATCATTCTTCTCATGTCCTTCTCGTTCATTCATACCTATTTTGTATAGAGACATGGCCGCTCGTCCTTACATACATATGTACGTTCAGTATAGATACACTGCGCGCGCTTGCGTATCTGCGCAGCTATTTGGTGGTCGTTGTGTATTTGTAAGCTGTCCTACACACATACCCGCACACACATATATGTACATACACATACACACCTTTACACACAAACAGGCGCGCGCATTTCTGACCATTATCGACGTTTTGACTTTCTCTGCTAATGTTTGTGGCGTTAGCAACAACTCTTTCCGCTTTGCCATTCTTCCATTCGCACTGCTTTGCAATCCATTCCGTTTTGGCTGTATAGCTATATTCCTTTAGGTGCATGCATGCATGCATGTGTGTGTGTGTGTTTAGTATATGTGAGCTGCATTGGGTTATCACTGTTGCTACCCCCGTTTGAAGCACTCCCCCTACCACCATTCACTCATTACCTTGCCATATGCTCTTCTTCCTTCCGCCCTTCCAACCCTGTAGTCCCTTGGCCTTCGTCGCCCATTTTTTCCCTGCTCGTCTCGTTGCCTGACTCTTTAACTGAAGACTGCCTGTCGCTTAGCCGGTTTACTGTTTACATTAGTCCTTTTTTGTCCGTCTGTCCCAATCTGCGTTGCTTTTGATCAGGTTCTTTGTTTCCCCTTTGCTCTCATGCGGCCCTGTTTCGCTACTCCATCTGCAGTTTAGGTAAATTTTTTATTTGCAATTTTCTCATTTCATTTGAAATGTTTCTGACTGTTTCAATTGGTTGTTTGCTGATTTTTTGAGCTGAAATCGAATTGCACTGTACTTTTTTGCAATGTTGGCCACTCAATATAACTAGTTTGATTGCATACTTTTAGGGTAGCACGAAAAACACAGATTTCAGGGACAGCATACTTTTGGTAGTTGATAAAACTTTCGAGTCAATTTCCTTGATCCTAGTACAGTTAGTACAACGTGATGAGAACAAAAAATTTGCACTGAAGATGGCACAACGCCGAAACCGGTGTTTCTCCGAACCAAATTTGACAAGGGATTAAGGAAAATCATTCTACAACACATCATACCCTGTCGGAGACACCAACAATCAGAAAGAGATCATTCGAAACTATCAAAGCTTTTTAGGAACGAAAGTTTAAATGCTAATGCATGGCAAGGTAGATGAAATATTAAAGCTCTGGTGAATGATAAGTTGGTGAAAGCCCTGACTTTTTCAGACTTTCATCTTGAAAAGTACCTCAGGTGAAAGCATAGTTTTCTGAAGAAAGCACCTACCTTTTCAGACTCTGTAACTTGAAAAATGCCTTTCCGAAATTTTTATTGAGATTTTAAGTTTTGAATTTGAACATCATTTGAGTAGCAAGTTTAAAATTAAATAAAACAAAAAAATAAATAATTCTAGTATGTATTTATCTTGAACGTTGTTTTTTCCTAATTTATTTTTTTGAACTGGAAACTGCTTCCCACGTCTGTATATGAGTGTTTACAAGTTTGAAAATCTTATTTGACATATTTTCTTGTCGTGTTTGCTCAAAATTTTTTAGTTTATTTAAAACTTTTATTTTCTATGGGATTTGAGAATACTCTAACTAAAGTTGTAAGATAATTTAAAAGTGTAGCACAATTTTTTTAGATAAACCGAAATTAATTATATATTTACTAAAAGTTTATCAATTTTATTGGAACCCCGAAACAATTGCGCTTTTGGCGAACTTGTGTTGTAAGATAATTTAGAAGTGTAGCACAATGTTTTTTTTAGATAAACCGAAATTAATTATATATTTACTAAAAGTTTATTTATTTTATCGTAACCCCGAAATAATTTCGCTTTTGGCGAAATTGTGTTACCCAAAGAAATCAGTTTTGAAATTTAAAAAAATTTAAATTTTCTCTTTTTTACCAAAATTGTTCAATAAAACAAACGATAAATTTCATCTACACAGGTATATTATGCGAAAAAGAAGCGACGCGCCCAACAGACTCAAGGCGAGGATGATTCGTCGAATAAGAAGGAGCGTAAATTATATAACGACGGTTACGATGATGATAATCACGATTATATAATTAAGAATGGCGAAAAATTCTTGGATCGTTATGAAATTGATTCCCTAATTGGTACGATATTGTAACTTGCTCTTTAAAGATTAACACACAAACTAAATATTTTGTTTTCTTCTTTCATTTCACTTCAACACAGGCAAAGGCAGTTTCGGGCAAGTGGTCAAGGCATATGATCATGAAGAGCAATGTCATGTAGCGATAAAGATAATTAAGAATAAGAAACCGTTCCTAAATCAGGCACAAATCGAAGTTAAATTGCTAGAAATGATGAATCGTGCAGACGCCGAGAACAAATATTATATTGGTGAGTTTGCATTTTGTCTCTTCTTCACGTTATTAATCCTCCTATCAAACCATTTATTCCCTTTACTTTTTACAGTGAAATTAAAACGGCATTTCATGTGGCGCAATCATTTATGTTTAGTTTTCGAATTGCTCTCCTACAATTTATACGATCTACTGCGAAATACGAATTTTCGCGGTGTTTCATTGAATCTAACGCGTAAATTTGCCCAACAGCTTTGCACTGCACTACTCTTTTTGAGTACACCAGAACTGAATATAATCCACTGTGATCTAAAGCCCGAGAATATATTACTTTGTAATCCGAAGCGTTCAGCAATTAAAATTGTCGATTTCGGCAGTTCATGTCAACTGGGGCAAAGAGTGAGTATAAGAAAAATAAAGCAAATGGATATAGGCATACGGGTTTTGTGGTTAAAAATTTAGGCATAAACCCTGAGCTCGCAAATATAAAAATTAAAAGCATTAGTATTTTCCATTTCTGAACCAAAAAAGATGAAACTATCATAAATTTCGCAACCACGCCTTGATGCTAGTTTCAAGTAAGATTGCGTAAGCTGAACCTTTCAATCTTCAATACCGTAGAAATAAAAGAACCCGATGGTTTGTATTTTTTTACATTTTGGAATTCCAGGAAAATCAAACCTTTTTTCCACAAAACCCCAGATCTAGTGATCGGAAAAATGTATTTATTTTGTTTACTTTTTGATTCACCTTTTAATATATCCGTTCTTTTCCTTTCTTTCTCTCTCTCCGTACATTCAGATATATCAATACATTCAATCACGTTTCTATCGTTCGCCGGAAGTGCTACTCGGCATCCCCTATGATTTGGCCATCGATATGTGGTCGCTCGGCTGCATTCTAGTGGAGATGCACACCGGCGAGCCGCTCTTCTCCGGCTGCAACGAAGTCGATCAAATGAACAAAATCGTCGAGGTGCTCGGCATGCCGCCGAAATATCTGCTCGATCAGGCGCACAAGACGCGCAAATTCTTCGACAAAATCGTCTCGGACGGTTCTTATGTATTAAAGAAGAGCCAAAATGGACGTAAATATAAACCGCCGGGTTCACGTAAACTACACGATATACTCGGTGTCGAAACTGGTGGACCAGGGGACGACGCTTAGATGAGCCAGGACATTCGGTGGCGGATTATTTGAAATTCAAAGACTTAATACTGCGAATGTTGGATTTCGATCCGAAGACACGTGTCACACCATACTATGCCTTGCAACATAATTTCTTTAAGCGTACAACCGATGAGGGTACGAATACAGCAGCGAGCATAGCAATATCATCACCGTCGGTTAGTTCGACATCATCGTCGGTGGCGATGGTAGTAGGTAATCAACAACAGAGTCAGCAACAGGCACAACAGCAACAGTTGGTGTCAGGCGGTGCGTTGCAACATCCAGAGCCACAATCGCACGGTGAGTCGATAAAACGCTACAGATTTTATTAAAAAAGAAATCAAAAAGCATCACTCACATGCACTTGCCATACACATTCACCCACACAACCACTTTTAGAAAAGTGACGTTTTAAGATTTTGTATTTTTCCATATTCACTTTGCATTGATAATACATTTGATTTCAAATGTAGAATTTATTTATTTATATATGTATGTATATTCGAACAATAATTTAAGTGATGAGTTAGCAATAAAATGCTATGAAAATTAAAAAAAAAAACATTTATCTTGTGTTCTTAGCCGTAGTTTTGTAAAGCTAGGCACTCGTACCGTACTCGGCGTGTGATTTTTCAGTGTAATTTCAAAATTTTAATTTATAAGATCTGACACTCCGATATGTATGTATATATATGTGCCCTGTGTACCTAGCTTAAATGTTTGTGCAGGTTTTTTTTGCGTGTACATTCGGTTCTGGTATATAACAGCGACATGCCTACGTACAAACCTATACTCACGCCTGCAGTTTTAGAGTATTAACATCAATGTTATTTATGATTTATTTATTTTCGCTTATAATTTATTACCATATTTACATAATTCATTTGCTTGTGAGTTAAAATAATTAATTTTTGTAAAAAATACGAAAGTACAAATAAATACAAATTGTGGCTTGTGAGCGCACATTGTCATACAAAAGTCGAGCTCCAAAAAGTTATTTTTTCAATGTTGGCGTGCATCATAAAAACATAATAAGGTTGAACCGTTCTCTCAATTCGTAAGCCATGTTTTTTCTTAAGTTTCCACCGACGGAGCGCCCTTCCATACTTGCCGTCCGTATCAAAATATCAAATTGCTGCTGATAGAGAGAGAGAAGCAACGACAACCTCACAGTCATGGGGCTGGTGGGGCTCTAAATTTTAAAATTGCTATATTGTTTGCAAAAGGCAAAAATGCTAAAAGTATCTTTCGGCGGTTCTACCTTGCTATATTAATTAAGACTTATAAAATTTGTCTCTACTAATTATGTTTCGCAAAAATCACTACAAACAATTGATTATAAGGTTAGCGAAAAAAATTAAGACTGTACCAAAAAATCGAAAGTTGCAAAAATTTTGGGACAGCAGTTACATTTTGGCCTGCATACACAATATAAGGTTTTACCCTATTATGTAAGGTTAATCAGCTGAAAAATGCTTTACGGAAACTTTGCAAATATTTTATTTTAGGACACTATTATATTTTTTTAAACGGTCGAAAAATTATGTCATCGGTTTTTTTTTATGGGAATTTGGGTAGAAAATTTTTGGACAATTGTTCTTTTGTTTTAAGATTTTTAGTATGAGTTTTGCGAGCTGAAAGTATTTAAAACACCTGATAAATTTGTCCCGAAAAGTACTTGAATGAATTATACGTTCGAAAACTGGTACCAAAAGTGGCTCAACACATATTTTTTTCCCATTAGTGCTAAATTCAAAGAGCAGCAAAATTTAGTGTCAGCTGACAGACTGTATGAAAAAATCAATTACAATTGTTAGCGATGAAAATTGGATGTGGGAAAATTTTTTAGCCGGCGAAAAATTGTGCCGAAAATTAAAAAAAAAAAATATTTAAACATTTCCAAATCGGCTATAGGAGTTTTTTTGGACAGTCAAAAGTTAATAGCATTAAAATGAAATTATTTCCTATTGTAGGTTTTTGTACAATGCAATTTTTGGGCCTTGAATAAAGTATGTAAAAATTTTGTTTACGATTTTTTTATTATATATCTAAGGCTTTTTCTACATTTCCAGGCTTTTTTCTCCAAAGCGGCAAGTATTTCTGACACACTTGTTAACAACATAAATTTTCAAAATTTCAGTTTTAAACGCATTTGTGAGAAACCCTGCGACATCAAAGTTGATTTTTAGTGTTTTGGCGTTGGAAAATTGAACTTCGGGACACAAGTTTTTTTTTTAAAGGCTACTGTTATTTTAATTTAACACATTTTTTAACTCTCGACTAAGGTTTTTAGATTTTTAAAATGGTATTTGGAGATGATTTTGCAGTCTTTGAAAAGTACCAGCACTCAATGAATAGAAAAAAAATATATATATTAGTAAGTTTTCAACTGAAGTGGAGTTGAGTTGTAAACCGTAATAGGGGCATTAATAATCGTTTTATCTAACTTGATATCGGAAGTAGTTCACTTTGGTATTTTTTGCAGTCTTCGCAATTTGTCTGTAATATTTTTCGCTTTAAAATTTGACTTTGTAGCTTTTTAGGAAATATGTTTTTTATTTTAATTTTTGATATGCAGTCAATCTTTCGTTTTAATTGAGATTCGTTCAGTTTCTATGCCATTTGCATGAAAAAGTATAAATTAACCAGAGATTTCTTACAGAAAACATATACTAACTTTTGCGAAATTTTTCTCTTCTTCCATTTGACATAAAAAATGCAACACTCAAAAATGTTTTGATTACAAAAACAAAAAAAAAAAAAAAAATTTAAAACTAATCGACTAACCGCCCATCAACTACTAACTCTCACATCCAACGCTGATGATTCCGCAGATGATAGGCGATGACCGGCAGTGCCTCGGGAGCAGGGCAGCTTAGCATCATCTTCATCATCAACAGCTTCCTCAGGTTCAACAACAGCAGTTATGGCAGGAGCATATGGCGGCAGTGGTACTGGTGGCGGCGGTGGTGGCGCCGGTGTAGGCGGATCAGGACAGACACAGCACTATGTTTAAGTTGAAATAGAAAGAGGAAGAGAAATGCGTTGCTATTAAGGACACTCAAACGCACACACACAGCTACACACGTGTATCGAGGCGAAGACTGTAGCGCAAGTAGAAATGGAGGTCAAGCAGGCATTTGGAAGGAAGCAGACAGTGTCAGTAAGAGATAATAGCCTCAAGATCCAAGTCAACCGTTCGTCGCCAACCAACAAACCAACACCATTCTCATCGTCATCAGCCGCATCGTCGCTAATTATGTGCATAATGGGCATTGGTATTTTGTAGATAACATTACAACAAACACTTCACTGCATACAAATGCATATACGTTTAACTTATACATACATACATACATACATCAAAAAATGCAAACATACATACATATATATTGCTAATAAATTCGTGCGAAAGTGGAATTAAAACAAAAACAAAAACAAAAGCAAAACAGAAAACATACTTAAATTTAAACTTTAAAATGTAAGGATTAACTGCTGGGTTGATTAGTGTTCTGATGCTGCATTAGGAGCGGAACGAGTACTAAATAATAAAAGGTAGTTTTATACAAATGCAAAATGCGTGCTGAATCAACCGAACGACAAGCAGACAGAACCCCAAACAGCCAATCCAAAAACAAAAGTACGTTCACTTCTTGATCTCTAAAAAAAAAAATAAAAAATTTATTAAATTTCAACGAAGTCACAAAATATTTTTTACAACTTACATTTTTTGCTTACTAATCTGCAAGCATACACACATACACTGTTTTTTGTTTGCTTGTGTATGTAAGTGTTGCATATTTTGAGGCGCTTACGCTGTAGAAAATAATTGTGAGGTTTAAAATCATGCATCATCAAAATCATGCAGTTTAAAAACTTTTTCAATTATTTAGAGTTGAGAGCCGCATGCATTTTGATGCAAATTATAGTTTCTTTTATTTATTTTTAAAAGTTCTACATAAGCTATTCATGCCAGTGGAAAAATAGGACTTTAGAAATATTGTTTTTGAATTGAAAAGGAGCCCGATACTTTAGATCTTCGCCATCTTATGAAAATAAAAGCGTCCACTGGAATAAGAACATTTTTATGTTTATAAGCTATCATTAAGCTCTGAAGCATTTTCAAACTCGCATAATTAATTGAAAGGAAGCAACATTCAGGTTAATATTTAAATGTATTCGCTTATTAATTTTTAAAAACTGTCCGCAGCTTTAAGAGCCAACATCACGCAAAAGTGCTGCAAAGTAATGGTTTTAAATGGAAACGAAGCCAGGTAGCTAAATTAAATTTTATGTTTAATTTTATTTATACATATAGTTTTTAAAAGCTTTTTAAACTATAATGCTTTTCTATCAAATTAATCACGAATATTTTCCTTTTATAGTCAGTTCATGACTAACGGAAAACTTTTATTTTAAAGATTAGAGCGCCGTTCTGATTGGTTTTAGGTGTAATATTAAACTTAATGTACAGTTTATAGCATAGATTTTGAAAAGGTATTGGCATATAATTTAAAAATATTTTATTGGTAATAACGTTTGTGCTTTTGAGCTTTTTTGATAATTAATGCTTTCATACGACTTTGCAGTTAATCATTTGTTTTTAATTTGAAAGGGACCCACTTTTATATACACGAGCTTTGAGATGCTTTATCAAGTCTTTCATTGATTTTTCTAAAAAGGAAAAAATGCCGTTCAGCTTATTTTATAAGTTGCGAATGTAGACATTTCACGTACATATTTTTTTTTTTTTAATTTATGAGCCATAATAGCTTTATAAGCTTGAATGAGCTTTATTGTAAAAATTGTAGAGATTTTATTGGAGCGGCCGCTATAGCTCTTGCCATGAAAAAACTTCTCATAAAAATCCGTTTGGTGTTCTGAAGCAGCTTAAAACTGTTGGTGCCCTCCACTTTGTATAACAACATCAATACGCTTAGCAAATGTGTAAGCGCCAAAATATTATATTTATTATTAACTTCAAACAGATTTATATGAAAAAATTTTATTCAATATTTTTGAATTTCAATGTGTTTTGCAATTTTTATTGAAAAGCTCCAAACTTATCGTTTATAAATTTAAATTTTTCTTGTAGTTAGGATTTTAAATTTTAAACACTTTGATCGTTAAGCTATTTAGCTTTAATGTAACATTTTTAAAACTTTAGCATGTTAAAAGCTTTCTGATAAAAAGTCTTCAATTTTATTGCGTTTAGATGGGGATGGGATTTTCCTATTAGTTAAACAGTGAGCATTCTAATGAGGTTTAAAAATTTAGATTCTAATTGCCATACTTCCGAG